CTCCATCCAACCTATTTTCTGCTCAATACTATTTTGAATTCTTTTCTGGTTCTTGCCATGCCAGAGGGCTATAACTCTTAGATATTTAAATGACCCAGAGTTGGAGCCTGCCTGGATCTCACATATTATCAGCCTGTCAGTAACAATTCTCTGGGCATTCTCATGACAGGAGTCTTCTTGCTGCACAACTCCTGAGGTTCACCTATCTTCCTGCTTCCAGGGCTCGCTGACTAAAACACCTGTGAGCCCCAATTCCAGCTAGGAGTGACCTAGCTTAAGTTAGGTGTCTCCCCTGGTGATCACAGCCTGGAACCGGGTCCTGTAATAGAATCATCCACGTGATGGAAACTAGGAGTCCACTGACAGTTCTGACGGGAGCGAGACTGAGTAGACGGCATTGTGTGAGGGAGGGATCGGAGGAAGGAGTTTGATGAAGGAGTCTCTTCATGTTGGAGGAGGAGAAACCACAGCACCGAGGCTGGTCGGGCACTCACAGTCGCCGTTGTGTCTAGGAGGCCAGCAGCGGGGCAGCACTGGACAAGATCACCCTGAGCAAGATCCTCCCCAGCTAAGGAAGGAAGGCGTCTCACAGCCTTGGCTGTTCTTTTTCCAAGCTTTTCTTTTCCACCGTCACCTGCCGGTAACTTTCCAAAGACATTAGTGTATGTCTTCTTTTCTGCTTAAAAGTCTCCACAGCTCCCCAGTGCCTACAAAATAAACTTGAGCGTGGTTCTCGAAATTCTAGAGTTTTGCCCCAACCGTTCCTGCAGTCTGATCCTGGCCACGGCAGCCTCATGAGCAAATGTGCAGCTCCGTGAATGCACCTCCGGCACAGCACCAAGTCCTCCCGCTGTCACGGCTCCTGCTGGTGTGAAGAAGATCGATTCCTAGCTTTCCGTGATTGCTAAAGGCTTGTGTAGACACTTGCTGAGGCAGCCGTCATGAAAACCTTGTGAATCAGCTGTTATCCAACTTTAGAGAGGAGGGAATTGATGCTCAGAGTGGTGGAGGCCACACTGACTGAGAATACCGGGTATTCTCAGAACAGCCCATGGTGCTATCCCCATTGTATAGGTTCAGTTTGCTTAAGTAGCTTGCTCTATTTAGAATCAAGCATTTGAGCCCTGGTTGGGTCTGGCTCCTAAACCTGTGTTCTTTTTCCTTGCTCTGCAGTGCTTGACCTGGGGCTGGCATTTACCACCTGCTTAGTTATGCTGATTGGAAAATGAATGATTGTTTCCCAACCATGTTTTCTCACCACTGGGACAAACACACCAAGTGCTCAGGGGCAGGCACCTGCAGCCATCACCAGCCTAGGGCTTTGGGCTGGGGGAGTCTGATGAACCCTGCTGATATAGCCAGATTTGTAGCTTTCTTTCTTGCGCTTATGTGTAGAGATAGGGTTAGAAAGTTCCATCTGTGGCATTTGCTAAAATAGGAACTCTTGGTGTGAAGAGATGACCCCACTCAAGCTCTGAGTCTGCTCCTCTTATGAGGCCCAAGACACAGTAGTTAGTTGCCCTGTAAAGACTTGTTGATGGAAAGAAAGAAAGGATGCAAAAAGGATTGGCAAGTCTATGGCATCTGCCATGTTCTACTAGGAAGATGTTACTGCTGGTGAGAATGGGAGCTGGAGTCTTTTGCGAGGCTGGGAACGAAGGGGTTCATAACTCTGCCATTGTGAAATTGATAGGACCCAAGACCAGTATGAAAGTTCCTTGTCTGAAGGGAGTAATCCTTAAATCCCCCATATGGTTTAAATGTAATTTGTGTCATTGTGAAGGAGTACTGGCAATGCAGGCGAATTCATTAGGCCAAATTGGGTTCGCTATGCTCGACAGTAACGTTTCTGAAGATGAAGTTCAACCTTTGCTGGAGAGCGGAAACAAATGAGTTTCTTAATGGCTGCCCCACTTAGTCTGAGTGTCTTAGGAAGCTTAATGTTTTTAGTGCCTCTTCTTTTTTACCATACTTCACAGTCCATCTAACTTTGCTGCTTCTGGTAATATTTTTATATGGGGTTGAGCTCTATAGTGCCCAGAAAATTATGACCCGGGCCCATACCTAGAATAGAAGCTTTTCTAAGGCAAGGATTATGTCCTTTTGGCTTTGTTTTGCATATCGACAGTCACCATGCTCTGCATATGTAGTTGCGCAAAACGTTAGCTCCAGCTGCAGCAAGTTTCATTGAGGGCGTGCAGACCACCAGCTGAGAATGGCTGACTTGTGACGTGATGTGCTGGGTGGGGCGAGAAGCTCTGATGGGCGATATTGTGCCCTGGTGCCCCTGAATCACCCTGGGATTTTGAGATCTCATTAAGAAAACTACCATTTACATGCTTGGTTGCTCTTGTTAGCCCAATGAAGAGATTATTGGAATATTTCATAAATCGGATTCTAGTACCAAATGTGTCAAGACCCATGTGTCAGCCTAATTTGCAAGCCTACCTAAAACCAGAGTCAGGAGCCAGTGTGAAGTCTACCAGTTAAGATCCCAGTGTCCCACACCTGAGGGCTAGAAGCAAAGGCCAGCTGCAGCTCTTGACTCCAGCTTCCTGCCAGTGCAGACCCTGAGAGGCAGCCATGATGGGTGAAGGAACTGGGCTCCTGCCACCCAAACCAGTAAGCTGGATTCCATTCCCAGCTCCAACTTCAGCTCCAGCCCAGTCTCGAGCCATCACAGGCATTTGGGGATGAACCAGCGAATGTAACCTCTCCCCCACCTCCATACACTTCTCAAACAAATTATGGAATAAAAGATAAAAACAAACCAGAGACCTCTTGCCACAGAACTTAAATAGTAATTTAAAAATGAATTCCTGATAAGTCAAGAAACAGTGGATATGTAAGTCATTAATAAGGCAAGTTTGCTTTTTAAATTAGTCTCTAGAGAATATTACTTTTAAAAACTACAGCAAGGATGGGCATTTGACCTAGCAGTTACGATGCTGCTTGGGACACCCACATGCAATACTGGAGTGCCCGGGTTCAAGGTCTGGCTCTGCTCCAAATTTCCAGTTTCGTGCTAATGCACACCCTGGGAGACAGCAGGTGATGGCTCAAGTGGTGGAGTACCTGCCACTGCTGTCGGAGACCTGGATGGAGTTCCAGGCTGCTGGCTTCAGCCTGGTCCAGCCCTGGCTTTTGCCGATATTTAGAAAGTGAACCAGTGGATAAGGGGTCTCTCTTTCTCTCTCTATGCCTTTCTAATAAGTAAAATGAAGAAATTTAAAATTAAAAAACTTAAAATTTAAATTTAAAAATTAAAAATTTTAAAACAAACTGAAAATATCAGATGGGCACTCACTCTCTGTATCTCTGCCTCTCAAGTAAATAATTCTTTAGACTATAAACAGTAGCTGCTATGTGGCCGGCTGGTTTTCAGCTTGATATAGACGTGTCTTGTGAAATGTTTTTGTGTGTATCTAGAGATATTGTTGGCACACAGCTGGCCTCGTGTGTCCTTTGAGGGGACCAGGCTCCTGTGCCTGTGGCCTGTGTTCTGCCTAAGGGCTCATTTGCCCACTTGCTTGGCTGGTCCTGGGCAGAGGAGCCCTGGAAGCCAGTGGTCCTCCTGCCTCAGAGGGGGCACTTGGCTGCTCCCATTGCCTGATGACATTCACAGCTTGCTTGACACATGAGTAGAAAAGTACTCAGATTTTGTTTCTCAAGTGGTGATTAACTTTTCCCTTGAAAACCTTGACTTCTCAGTGCGTGTCCAACTCCCCAAACACACAGTGTGCTCAGTCCTGGTTCACTTCTGAAGCATCCTTCCAAGTTCACCAAACCCTTGACAGTGGAACCCACTCCCAGCTGCTCCCCCACCCCAACTCTAAAAAAAATGTGCTGTAACTGAAGAGAACTGCTTAATTGGCAACTTTGCTGAACCACATAAACAACACACGTGTCTGTATTTAAATACATTATTAATAGCAATCTTAGGGAGGACATAGGATTGGATATTAAATTCAGGTAAAATGTTTTTAAAAGTGTTAGGTTCTTTAAATGCAAAGAACTTCAAGTGCTTTATGCAAATTGTTTTCTTAAGAGTCAGTTCTATTTAAAACTGAGCAAAAAGTTTTAAAGTTGATATCAAGTTCGTAGTACTTTTTTTTTTTTTTTTTTGACAGGCAGAGTTAGACAGTGAGAGAGAGACAGAGAGAAAGGTCTTCCTTCCGTTGGTTCACCCCCCAAATGGCCGCTATGGCCAATGCGCTGCACCAATCCGAAGCCAGGAGCCAGGTGCTTCCTCCTGGTCTCCCATGCGGGTGAAGCACCCAAGCACTTGGGCCATCCTCCACTGCACTCCCGGGCCACAGCAGAGAGCTGGCCTGGAAGAAGAGCAACCAGGACAGAATCTGGCGCCCCAACCGGGACTAGAACCCGGGGTGCCGGCGGCACCACAGGTGGAGGATTAGCCTAGTGAGCCGCAGCACCGGCCTGTAGTACTTTTCTAAATAATAACTTGATCTAACCTCATGTAGTAAGAGAAATCTATCTTTTGCCTCCGCTCTGTTCATATTTTCGAGGCTCTGTAGCCTCCTCCCCACTTTCCCATAAAGTCAAGGGAGTGGCCAGCTTGTTTTATTGATCACTAGGGGCATACACGGGGGTGATCTATTCTTCTAGAACTGTATACTACTATATTAAATCTTTCATGGCCAGTGAATAAACCGGTTCTATTAGTCCGTGTCTTTTCTTCTACCTGGGATTGTATTTGGAAAGAAAAAAAAAAAGTCCCATGAGTAACAAAATGATGGTGATGTCAGGAAACCAGAGGTAACTGAGCTCCCTCCCTTCCATTTTAAGCTTGACCTTTCTCTCACTGGGGAGGCACGGATCGACTTTAGCTGCAGATGGCCTTCCCAGAGACGGATGCCCAGAGAGGCTCCGGTTCCACGGGTGGCTGGCGGAGTGAGAGTCACACCAGGGTGTCTGGTTCGTGATCCTGCTCCGCCTCTGCCCTGGGCTGCAGCGTGGACGCTGGCAGCCACCTGGTGTTTGTAACTGAAGTCTGTTACAGGCAGCAGTCTTTGGAGTGATCTCTACCTTCACGGGGAAATGAGGCAAAAGTAATTGAGGGGTGTTTGGCTGGGCTGCGCTGGCAGGAGTGTCTTCAGGAAAACAACTTTGAAAGGCTGTTGTGTGGGTGGGTGTGCGTGGGCGTGTGGCCCTTCACTTTTTCAAAAGGGCATCAACACCAAGGAATCAACCAAGCCTTCTCATTGTGAGTGACTGTCCTGGCAAAACCTTGGTTTTCATTTACCCAAGAGGACCCTGCTGCAGCTCCAGGTTGGACAGAGCATTTGGGGGACCCTTATCCACTCTCCCGACACGCTCACCGAGCCAAGTGGTGGAAATGAAAGATGAGTGATTCAGATGGATGGATTTCCGGAACATACAGAAAAATGGAAGAAGGTCCTCTCCCTCTGTTGACCATTGCAACAGCTCCCTACCATGACCAGAAACCAGGAACGAGCGGATTACGGAAGAAAACCTATTACTTCGAGGACAAACCATGCTATCTGGAGAATTTCATCCAGAGTATCTTCTTTTCCATAGACCTAAAAGATCGCCAGGGATCGTCACTGGTGGTTGGTGGAGATGGGCGGTATTTTAATAAATCGGCAATAGAAACAATATTGCAGATGGCGGCAGCCAATGGGGTTGGTATACGATAAGTATTACTGTGTTCCTGGCTCTCCAAATAACCTCTTAATTTTGCAGAAGTGTACAAATAAGCAAAGCTTTGTCTATGGTTGACACCTCAATTCTACTAACATTCAGTTAAATTGCATTGCAACTTCAGAGATTGTATATTGTTCCAAGGCTCCAGAAATTCCATCAGTCACGTTGGGATACAGGGATACAGGAATGCAGGTTCAGCTTCTTAATGTGTTGTGCTCTGTCCCTGTCGCTCAAAAAACTACCTGTTGCTTTTTAGACATTTAAAGCAGCCTTCAGCTGTTTTATCTTTATCATTCTAACTAGCTCCAAGGGGCACCCCTAGCCTATGTAAGAGGGCTCTAATGAATGGTGGAGAGGGGAGGATTTTGTCTTCTTTCAATGGCTTCCTTGTTGAAGTTCAGTCACTTGTCAAACAGGAAAACAAAAGCCAGGGCAAGCTGTTGTTTATGGATCTTGGTAGTCATGCAGAAATGCTAGGAGCGGATTGGAAAATGTTAGGTGTGAGCTGTTCAAGAGGACCTGGTGCAGGGGGACCTGCTTATAATGACCCCGGGCACAAAGCCGCCCTGTGTGCGGTGAATTTGTGCAGCAGGGTAGTGATAATAACTCCTGTAAGACTATAATATAAGCAGGCTCTGCTAAAGCTCTGCGTCATGAAAAGCCACATTGACTGGATTAAGCAAATCAGGAGAATATTGCACCAGAAAACATTGATCTCGATGATCCACCAGTTTGCACAGCCTGCTGATTACCGGGAGGTGGGCATCCGTTCACTGCTGTTTTGGCTCTGCAAAGTCCTCAGCTGGACCCAAACTATATTTTTAGTGTTTTAGATAACGCGTAGCAGTAATTTGAAGTGCACAGTTCTTCAGTACCTGTAAATTAAAAAAAAAAAAAAGTCTGTTAGATCCTGGTTCTGAATTTTGTGTTGTGGCCAAATGTGTTAGGTGTTCGTTTCAGTCTTAATAACCTGCCAAGCAGGTGTGTTTGCGAAAACCAAATTAAAAAAAAAAAACTAAAATGTAAAAATGTTTGTCAAACCTTGTGTTTGTGATGAGAATTTGCCTTTGATGCTCACTGAATCTGAATCTGAATGCCTCTCATGTAAAAATTGCTGAAACAGCACTCAAATCTGAAATTATTATGAAGCATACACATTTTTAAGATAAAATGGGACATGCCATAAATTTCCTCTTAAGGAGAGCTGCAGAGGGAATGGTATTAAGATGCTTTTCATCTTTTGAGAGGGAGTGAGTGGAACCTGATTTCTCTGCAGGTATCCTTACCATTGAACGGGTCTGGTGCACTGTCCCCTCTGCTGTGATATATTGAGCTTCATTTCATTTTTGTGTGGAGCTGAAGCATGTGGAAGCGGTGATGGGAATGTATAATTCCGCAGACCCCATAGACTGCCTCAGATTTACTGTCCGCAGGTTTGCTAAATAATACATTTAAGTGGTAATCATTGACTAAATATGGTAAGTGCCTATTTGTTAGAGCTGTGGCACCCCCAGCAATATTTTCAAGGCTTGTCAAGGACATTCCTTATTTAAAAGAGTGTTACATTTAAAGCAGTCATGCTGCCCAGCTGAATTACCTGAAACATTTAGTGGAGCGATAAAGCACCTTAATCTGATAAAACCTGTGAAATCCTAAAGTGTTTGATTTCTTCTTTTCCTAACATATCCTAAATTCCAGCGACTTTAAACACCCCTTTCATGGTGGGCAGGACAGCAGGGAGGAAATCTAGGATAATTATTGCTACAGATTTCCATAAAAGTTACTTCCTCACTTTTGTCAGTGCCCACTGCACCCATGAGCCAGTCCTTGGAGCACTCTGCAGCCTGGAGAGCTAAGTGGAGACCGTTATATTTCTCCCCCACTTGAGGATACTTTTATCTGGTGCGTGTATGAATCCTAGAATATAATTTGTCTCCAGTAGGAGTTTCCCTTTGTTCTTATTTGCATAGCTGTCTGCTTTTACAGGACATTTTAATGCACAAAATGAAACTTTGGTGGGCCCCATTTAGAATATTGATATCTCATTCTGTCCTCAGAGGTGAGTTTAGAAGTGAGAGCAGAACCATGTGTATGATTACTAGTAGGACAAAGAAAATACAGGTTTGTTTTCGTTTTTGTTCTTTTTTTAATGGAACATAGGGAAACAGCAACCCTATTTTCAAATAAAAAGGAAATTTCTAAGTTCACACCTTGCCATGTTTGGCTATTACTTTTCTGGGAGACAATGAAGTACTCATCTTGGTGGCGAGACCTGAGTTATGAGAAGGCAGTAGTGGGAGAAGAGGCAAGCAGGAGAGGCAGGTTCATGATGGGCTCCCAGGGCCAAGCTGAGGCTGTTTCAGGATCTCACAGTGGAGCCAGGACAGGTAAAATGCACACAACATGAAAGCTGTCATATTGAGTATGTGCCATACACAGTTCAGTGTCATTAGTGACATTCCCAGTGTTGTACGACTGTTACCACCGTCCCCAGAACATTTTCATTGTCCCAAACTGAAACCACATACCCCTGGACAGTCACTCCTTATTCCCCTCCCTCCAGCCCCTGGAAACCTCTTTTCTGCTTTCAGTCTCTATGAATTTGCCTATTCTAGGTCCCTCGCAGAAATAGAGTCACAAGATACCTGTCCTTTTGTATCTGGCTTGTTTCACTTAGCGTAATGTTTTCAGGATTCATTCATGATATCACATGTATTAGAACTCTGTTCTACTTTTTTTGGTTTTGTTTTTAGTTTTGGAAAGAACATTGTCTTGTGCATCCTTTCAGTCACATCCATAACCACAGATTGCAATGTCATCTTTAAGTAGTGACCAACTTCAAAAATATTTTTAATTGTGGTAAACACAACATAAAGTGAACTGTATCAGCCATTTTTTAGAAAAAGATCTATTTATTTGAAAGACAGTGTATGTATATGTATGTGTGTGTGTGTGTGTGTATATATATATATAGATAGATAGAGAGAGAGAGAGAGAGAGAGAGAGAGAAATCTTCCAACACTGGTTTACTCCCCCAAATGGCCACAATGGCTAGGGATCATCCAGGCCAAAGTCGGAGACCTGGAACTCCAACCAGATCTCCCATGTGGGTGGTAGGACCCAAGCACTTGGGCCATCCTCTGCTGCTGTTTCAGGCACATTAGCAGGGAGCTGGATTGGAAGCAGAGCATCTGGGATTCCAGTTGGTGCAGTGATTTGGGGTGCTGGCGTCATGGGTGGCAGCTTAACCCACTGTGCCATAACTCCAGCCTCCAACTTAAGCCTTTTGAACATATAGTCCAGCACCGTTAACTGTGTTCACATTGCTGTGCCACAGCTCTTCAGAGCTTTTACACCTTGCCCAGCTGAAACAGTGTGTCTGTTGAACAATCCCCTGCTTCCCCTACCCTGGAGCCCCTGGCAACCACCGTTCTACCTTCTGTTGCTATGGTTCTGGCTACTTTAGGAACTCCATACAGATGAGTCATTTCGTATTTGTCTTTTTGTGACTGGCTTATTTAACTTCGTCTGATGTCCTCAAGGTCCATCCATTGGTAGTGTGTGACAGGCTTCCTTCTTTTTAAAGGTTGCATGATATAAAATTGTATCACAAACATCATTTTGTTTAGCTGTCCATGTATTGATGGACACTGGGTTGTTCTCACCTTTTGGCTATTGCTGTGAACCTGGGTGTTTCAGTGTCTGTTTTGTGTGGCCTTCAGTTCTTTAGATATGTCCCTGGAAGTGGAATTTCTGCATCCTGTGGTGCAAGGAAGGTTTTTGAGCAAAAGGAGGGACACCAAGTTATGGTTGAGAAAAGTGAAGCTGGTGGGCTTGAGTAGACAGGATGGATTCACCTGGGGTAGAGCAAGGGCGGTTTGGGTAGGGGAGAGTCGGGGGAGATGGAATTAGGAGTGCTTACAATGGTTCAGGCACCTTTGGGGGAAGGAAGATACTGGAGCAACATCTCCCTGCATCAGATGGGGCTTTGATAGTCCTGAGGCTGATTCTCCAGAGAGTCTGCCCTGGAAGAGGAGTGCTTTGACCTAATGAGCCTTTTCTTGGACTCAGGAGAGGGAAGCTACCATGCGCTTTTCTCTACTTCTGTCTCTGACTTTCGACTCTTTCCCTGACCCAGGACCATGGCTGGCAGAAGATGTCACCACAGGAATGGTAGAATTAAGGGTGACCTGGGTGCCGTAGTCAAATATTCAGCAGCCTTTCCTTCCACACCAAACACGTACAACATCTTAGTAAAATCTCCTGTGCTTGATGTGCAAGTAGACTTTCCAGATAACCTTACCAGCCACTCTGGCTGATTGAATTGTCACCCTGAGCTCAGACTATTGCTATTCTGGGACTGCCTGGCCATGGGCTTTTACTCTCAATCGCACCCACACCTGGAAACTACTGGCGGGGGTGGGGGTGAGCTGTCACCATTCACATTGTATGGAGCCAGGAGGTTTCAGTGCTTCCCCAGCTCTGGCCACTGACCGGCTGGGTGACCTTGTCACACCATCTGTCCCAGCATCTGCTACATCCATCAGTGCTTCTCCGACAATGCCTGTCATTACTGCTGTGGGGTAGATGCAAGAATGAAGGAATGGGTAGGCTGATGACAACTCTAGACCTTTCTATCTCCACAATGATGGCTGGGAGGAGCAACGTGAGAATGGACCACAAGTCCCGGGGTGGGGAGGGGGCTGGCAAGCCCTCAGCAGCTCAGCAGCAATCCTCAGCGTTGATGTCACACCATCTGCAGGTTCCTCCCGTCGGCAAGGGGGCCTAATGACAGCACCTGCCCTGGTGCTGTTTTCTGGGGGAAGCAGGTCAAAAACACATTAGGGCGGTTACTACAATGAAAGCATTTGGAGACCACACATATAAGGGCAAGGAGGTGACTGAAATGAACCAGATGCTTTCTGGGAGGTGGCTATTTGTGGAGGGGTCAAGTTCTCAGTAACCTGTTGCGGGGCGGGGCAACACATCTTAACAGCCCAGAGAAACTTTCCCCAGGGAAACCCAGTGTCTTCTTGGTATCTTCAGCACAAGAAACACATCTGCCATCACCCAGTCATTTCCTCAACCATCTTTATCTTGGGTGGAAAAAAAGGAGTGGCCAGTAGCATCTGAAAGTCATCCTGTCCCTTTCCTCTGGCACAGGGGGAAGTGCAGGAGAAGCACAGACTCCCCAGTCGGTAGGTCGTTCCTTATAGCAATCAGGTGTTTCCAATATGTCAGAGGAACTGACAGCACTTCTCCTTTTCCTCCTGGGGTCAAGTTGAAACATAGAAATCACTGCTGATTTAGCGAAGGAAGATGTAGGAGCTGTGCTGATACTGTCTATGGGAGGGATGGAGAGGTGAGTTAAGAATGCAACCGAAGCCCCCTCCCCCCACCCCGGGCCCTTTCATGTCGCTGGTTCTGAGTGGTGTCTCGGTAGTAACTCCCAGCATTCTTATCTCAGGCCGCCGTACATGCATGTACACCCAGGTACACCGTAACATGCACCGGAAGGTATGTCCTGCTTTGAGGAAACCTACGATAGGAACAGCTCAAGCTTGACGGGAAAGATCATTTTATAAGATGCATTGTGTCATATTGTTGGTATAAAGTTTGCCCTTTCTCCTTTTTGAAAAATTTACTTTACCAAAGCCTCCTCTTTGGGGAGAATACCTGTACCTAGCTAAACCTATATCCTCTCTCCCATTCAGCAAAAAATGGTGGCTTTCTCCCAGCCTTTCAGTGAATCCAAACTACAAGGCAGATCTGAAAAAGCTGTTTTGAATTTGCTGTGTTTTCTTGCTTGAGCCATACAGTACCCCCACAGCACACACTATGCTGTAATTCCCCAGTTCCTGGAACTGTCTGAGGGAAGGGTCTCATTCCACCATGCTGATTCTACTTCAGCCCTGTGAGGGAGACATCCGAGCTGTGGCTGCTGATCCAAGATCCTTTCTGGTCCCATAGAATATTTCTCTGCCCATCTGCCTATTGTTCTGTATTTGTGAGTTGTTGCCCTGGATGTATGGATGTTAAAGGGTGTGTTCTGGGTTTCTCTTCCTAGATTGGGCGCTTGGTTATTGGGCAGAATGGAATCCTCTCCACCCCTGCTGTGTCCTGCATCATCAGAAAAATCAAAGCCATTGGTGGAATCATTCTGACAGCCAGTCACAACCCCGGAGGGCCCAATGGAGATTTTGGAATCAAATTTAATATTTCCAATGGAGGTGAGTTTGCTGTCATTTCTAGGACGGGCAGTTGTATGTTCTTTCAGATAAACCAGTATCTGAAGCCTTGGGAGGCTCGGGTTCTGGCTCTCATCTTTTACAAGTGGAGGGACCTTTGCTTCCTTTTGGTGACAGTGCAATGCTTCACACTCTACTATATCCAAATATGAAAAGCCATGCACAAGTCACCACTAACAGAGGGTTTCCTTTTAGAATAACCCCGCACTGTGCCTCTTGCCTGATGAGATGCTTCGTGTGCCAGTGAAGAGATACTGTTGAGCTTTGGATTCTTTGTATTTGCAACTGAGCTGCACAAAATCATGCACTGTACGCTGTTTGATTTCCAGGTCCTGCTCCAGAAGCAATAACTGATAAAATTTTCCAAATCAGCAAGACAATTGAAGAATATGCAATTTGCCCTGACCTGAAAGTAGACCTTGGTGTTCTGGGGAAGCAGCAGTTTGACCTGGAAAACAAGTTCAAGCCCTTCACAGGCAGGTTCACTCCATTCCTCTTCCTTCTGTCTACTCCTCCATCTACCTTGAGAAATGTTGTTTCAGGGTTTGAATAAAGTGGGTCTTCAGCTTCAGGAAGGTGGTGGTCCCTAGGCTTTGTGTGCATTAAGCAGTTGGCAGGTCTGGAGTTAGATTTGGAAGTCTAGAGACCTGGGCAGGGGTCAGCTTCCTGGCATTTGGTAAGTCCCTCCTGTACCTGGTAAGGCCCCAGTTTCCATACCTGGACAACCTACAGCCTCTAGTAGAAGACCTGGGAGATTACAGTCACAGCTTACTTTTTTGTTTGTTTGTTTTTAAAGATTGATTTATTTATTTGAAAGGCAGAGTTACAGAGAGGGAGAGAGAGAGAGAGAGAGAGGAAGAAAGGTCTTTCATCCACTGGTTCACTCCCCAAATGGCCACAACACCTGGAGCTGAGCTGGTTGAAGTCAGGAGCCAGGAGCTCCTTCTGGGTCTGCCACGTGGGTGCAGGCATGCTGGCGTCACATTTGGCAGCTTTACTGGCTATGCCATAAAGCCGCCCCCTCCCTGCCTTTTAAAGATTTATTTATTTATTTGAAAGGCAGAGTTACAGAGAGAGAGGGAGAGACAGAAAGAGGATCACAGCTAACTTTTATGGTGCTCTTCATATGCATTGCAGTATTCCTTATCCCAAGTGCTTGGACCTAGAAGTGTTTCAGATTTTGGAGTTAGTTAGATTTTAGAATATTTGCATAGATCAGATTGGCCACGTGTCCCTTATCTGAATATCTGAAATGCTCCCCGAAGTTTCTGATTTCGGAGCATTTTGGATCTCCGATTTGCAGATTAGGGTGCTCAGTCTGTATTCCACTTTACTCTCTCAATAGCCCTGTGAGGGCCACACTGTCAGGAGTCGCTGCTTACAGATGGGGAAAGAAAGGCAGGGAAAGGTTAAGGCCCAGGCTCCTCAAGCTCACGTGGTCAGGGTGTGCTAAAATCAGGATTCCAGCTGCAATGTGGGTGACTCCCATGCCTGGACTTTGCTTTTTTTTTTTTTTAAATCTGCCCTAAATTAGTAAAATTAGTCAGACCCTGTGGGGGCTGCCCTGAAACCCCTGCATGGGCAGCTGTGGCTAACATTTCATTCTGGAACGCCAAGGGATTACAATAACTGACAGGATAAATGTCTAGAAATGTGTTCATGTTGATGGTTGGCAGTGGGACTTGCGGTTCTACTTTGCCCTAACATGACTTCTTGCCTCTGGGCTGCGACTTCATGGAGTGCATTTTTTTTTTTTTTAATATGCACAAAGAAAGCTGACAATTGCATCTCAACAAAGGTGCTTTGGTCCATCTTGAAGACAATCTTGGTGGTCAGAAAACCCCACTAGAGAGGTTTCTTAAACTCCTTATATTTTAAAAATATTTGGGGACAGCACTGTGGTGCAGTGGGTTAAAGCCCTGGCCTGTAGTTTTAGCATCTCGTATGGGCACTGGTTCGAGTCCTGGCTGCTCCATTTCCTACCCAGCACCCTGCTAATGCACCTGGAAAAGCAGCAGAGAATGGCCCAAGTCCTTGGGCCCCTGCACCCATGTGGGAAACCCGGAAGAAGCTTCTGGCTCCTGGCTTCAGATGGGCTCAGCTCCAGCCATAGTGGCCATTTGAGGAGTGGATGTTAAGACCTCTATCTCTCTTACTCTGCCTTTCAAATTAATTAATTAAAAAAAAAAGTTCAGAACCCCTTCAAATCAAATAACAAGAACAACAATGCCAAGTTTGCATATTTGTTTTATTGCTTTACAACTCCTATGAAAAGAAATGCATTGAAAAGAATATTTTTCCTGTTTTTTACCATTAAGTCTTGATGACAATGGACCTTGGAAAAGGAAAAGAAGAAAAGTAGGCATTACATTTTGTTATCTACGACACCAGTGTTCCTCTTCGGGGTGACGAATTGGGAAGTACCAGGGCAGCGCAGATAGCAGACGTCCTGCAGGTGTCCCAGCCCTGCTGTGCGCAGAAGTGTCTTACCCTGTGAGGCCTAGACTTTACTCATCTGTAAAATAGGACTGAGAACATGGACCTCTCGGGAAAGCTGTTAGTATTGGATAGGGTAGCATTTTACAGCCCTGGTGTACTGGAGTTACTCAATTCTTGTCCTTTGAAAATAGTTCTTGCAGGGTTACAGCAGTAAAAAATCTTTCTACATATGTTACATGCTGTTCCATCTTTTCATTTCGCTTATTCTCACAGTGGAAATTGTGGATTCAGTGGAAGCTTATGCTACGATGCTGAGAAACATCTTTGATTTCAATGCATTGAAAGAACTGCTCTCTGGGCCAAACCGACTAAAGATCCGTATAGATGCCATGCATGGAGGTATGGGACGATTGGTCCTCCGTTCCCTTCTCTCTAAAATAAGAAGTTACTTTCTACTGTGTGTAGCATGAAGCTTTCATAAGTCTTGCCTCAAGTCTCTCTGGGTTGGACAGGTTTTAGAACTATTTTGCATTTGTCTCAGAACAATAATCACACAGATCATAATCTAATTGTATGCAGCAAAAAACAGTAGAGACTGTCCTGGTGAGCAGTGTGAAGGTCGGTGTTCTCACGTGGCAGCCTTGGGCTCGCAGTACCGTGCCACTTGGCTGGGGACTCGTCCCCCCTACCTTGCAGTTTTCCTATGTGGCCCCACGTCTTTCCAAGGGGGTGGGTGTTTGCTAGCTGTAGCAAGCATGCTCCTGAGCCCCGTGCTCCCTCTCACCTGCTCCCGCGTGCTCCTGCTCTTAGAGGACAAGAGCAAGCTGAGGCTAAAACTCAGGAGCGGCAGGATGTGTGCTCCCCGTCTGCTTCCCCGGAGGGTTGTGTGGCCAGGCCAGTAGAGACAGCAGCCGTCCCTGGCACCGGAAAGGCGGGATTTTCTCCCTTGTAGGAGCAGGAGGATTCCTGAACACTGATGCTGGCTATTGTGTTTGTCAGCAATTGAGAATTCTAGGCTCTTTCTGTGACAGGGACTCTCCCGTGGGTGGAAACCACACAAGGTTCAGTAACACTCCTGCTACACTACCAGTTTTGAGTAGCAAGACTTCTCCCGATGCAGTGAAATCTGCCACCTCTGGAACTTCTCCCTGGGTCCTAGCTGGCTCCTGGGAGTCCCACAGAATGGTGGTCCACTTCCTTCTCCATCTGAAAGCCATGCAGTCCCTTTGAAGCCTTCAGCAGGCTTCTGTTGAGTGTCAACTTGATGCAGGAGTGCCTGAGGCACGGGCAGGGACCTGGTAGGTGACTGCATTCAAAGAGCTTGTGATGTTTGGGGCAGGTGGGGTGGGTGTAAAACTAGCCACTGACCGGCTGATGCAATGGGGGTTAGGACTTTAGGTACTCTCTTTGGAGTGTGGAAGAAGGCATGGCTTTTATGAAAATCAAGCTGGGGTCCTTCCCCACTAAGGCAATCACTGTGGCAAAGGCACGAAGGCTTCAAAGGGAATGTCATGTGATAGGGGTGAGGGGAAGCGCAGACCGCCTCAACTGTGAGGCTGGGGCATGGGTCCTGGCTAGGAGAAGCTGATCTTTCTGGCACATCTTCAGCTATCCTGATAACGCCTCCATTTCTATATCCCATAGGCGGGCTGCCTTGACCTTACTCTGATGCGTCAGTTGCCTGCTTCATACATGGCCCTTCCGAGGAGGCACATAACCTGTAGGGTTCCTGCCCTTTGTGGCCTGTAGTGGGTTTGGGGGCCTTCCTGGCTGGAAACCTTTGTGGAGAGAAGAGCTCTTGGTAGTTTTATGAAACGTCACTGTAAATGCATGTGACTATTTTCTCCCGTGGTTTGTTGCTGTTCCTGGTTTTTGTTTGGACTCTTTTCAACCAGTTTGTCAGATAGCTTGATCTAGTGGGAAGAGAAGAGCTCTGAATCCCAGCTCCCACTCCTACTAGCTGCGTGCGTTTAGGCAAATATCATCCTCTCAGAACTTCCCTTTGCTCATGGGAGGCGGTGGGAGTCCTAACATAATTTATAGTGTGTGTGTGCGCCAGGTGCTGTTCTCCGTGCTTCCTATCTATAAACTCCTGTAATCCTCCATCAAGCCTGGCAGGTAGTCACTGTCACCACCCTCGTGTTGCAGATGGGAGAGACCGAGGCACAGCGAGATTAAGTAACTTTCCCCAAGTCGCACAGCCAGTGAGTGGCAGAGCTGGGATTTGAACCCAGACACTCTGATTCCAGAGTCCAGACTGAATCTTTACCCTCAGAGCTTACCTCTCCGCCAGCCTCCGAATGTGTACATTCTCGTTGTTGCTCCAGCTCTTCTATCCAGATGTGCCCACCTCCCCGTCACCCCCCTCAACCCTTCCCTACCCCAACAAGTTCTGTTCTCTGATTCTGCTACTTTGGTTCCCTGCTTTACGTAGTTGTGGGACCGTACGTAAAGAAGATCCTCTGCGAAGAACTCGGTGCCCCTGCAAACTCCGCTGTCAACTGTGTTCCTCTGGAGGACTTCGGGGGCCACCACCCTGACCCCAACCTCACCTACGCAGCTGACCTGGTGGAGACGATGAAGTCTGGAGAGCATGACTTCGGGGCTGCCTTTGATGGAGATGGGGTGGGTACAAGCACATTTAAGCAAACTCTGATACAGGCCAGGCCAGATGGTGCAGATGGGAAATAAAATCGGGCTGTATCCATCAGGCCCTGGGAGCCTGGTGAGCAACTGCCAAGGGTCCCTTATTGTCCCTGAGGCCAGGAAGGAATTTCTAGAAGACTCCATTGAGCAGAAACAGTGAGAGGCATTGAAATGGAACGTGTTCATTTCATTCACATTTGCTAGAAGTGGCCAGGTGATTAGGTTCCAGATAGGATGTAATGACTGGTTCTCCATGAGTTTATTGAGTCATGGATACCTGTCCCGAGGTAGGTTTCTGCTCTCCACCATTTACTCCACCAGTAAATGGCTACTCATTTACTCTCTGGAAAAGCTTTTAGTCCTAAAATATTCCCTTCCAGGGAGGCCAGCATTGTGGTATCGTGGGTGAAGCTGCTGCCTGTAACACTGGCATCCCGTATGGGCACCTGTTCTAGTCCCAGCTACTCCGCTTCCAATCAGGCTCCCTGATAATGCTCCTGGGGAAGCAGTGGAATGTGGCCCTAGTACTTGTTTCCCCTGCACCCATGTGGGAGACCCAGATGAAGCTCTTGGCTCCTGGCTTTGGACTGGCCTAGCGCTGGCCAGTGTGGCCATTTGGGGAGTGAACCAGCAAATGAACTGTCTCTCTTTCTCTCTCTCTCCTTCTCTCTCTCTCTCTCTCTCTCTCTCTCTCTCTCTCTGTAACTCTGCCTTTCAAATAAACAAATAAATCTTAGAAAAAGAAAAAGGCGGGCGCTGCGGCTCACTAGGCTAATCCTCCGCCTGCAGCACAGGCACACCGGGTTCTAGTCCCGGTCGGGGCGCCGGATTCTGTCCCAGTTGCTCCTCTTCCAGGCCAGCTCTCTGCTGTGGCCAGGGAGTGCAGAGGAGGATGGCCCAAGTCCTTGGGCCCTGTACCCGCATGGGAGACCAGGAGAAGCACCTGGCTCCTGGCTTCGGATCAGCGCGGTGCGCCGGCCGCAGCACTCCGGCTGCAGCGGCCATTGGAGGGTGAACCAACAGAAAAAGGAAGACCTTTCTCTCTGTCTCTCTCTCTCACTGTCCACTCTGCCTGTCAAAAAAAAAAAAAAAAAAAAGAATATATCCTTTCATTCATTCTCATTAGCTGAGAGATGAAACTATAATTTTATAGCCTATATGGAGCCCATATTGAATCAAAATTTTACTCCTCTATAATTAAGGTTGTTGTTTCTTTTTAAGATTATTTAAACTGGTGACTGTGTAAGAGACAAGAAGAGAGGTGTCTTAGTCAGGTTTGTGCCCCTGGTGTATCACAGATAGCAGGCACTGTGTACCCTTGCTCAGGTGAGGATATGTTTTTGTTATTGATATGCTCTTTGCCAGCAGTGAGAAGCCACAATTTCCTGAAAAACAGTGTTTTCCTTATCAAAGTTTCACGAAGTTAAAGGGGTTCCTAGCAGACCTTGTTTTGCATCTGTGTGATGCAGTGCATGCTGGGAGTTTTTTCCTTATATTCTCCCAGTTACCTGAGTGGAAGCTGTGGGCCAGCCAGGGAGTCAGTGAAGGTGGCAGCATATTTTGTTGGGTCCCAGTACCAAATGGAGGGGTCATGATTTAGAAGCAGATGAAGAAATCTGCCTTTGTTCCTCAAAGGAGCCCTGGTAGACCCACCAAACTGTGTAAACAGCCAAGGTTTCCTCTCTCGTTGCCTTCACTGCTCCCCTCTGGGAGAGAAGTGATTGGTTCCAGAGTGTGGAAAAGGTCTTGGAGGTTAAAGTTAGCTGGCCTCTGGAGGGAGAACACAGTATTTGACTCAAAAGGAGTTTGTGCTTGCACTTTAATTGAAAACAGTTTTAACGCTTTGGTATGGAGGTGCCTTTGACCCAATGGTACTGCACAAATCCGTGAAAAATAAAGCCCAGCATTCAAAGCCCAGTACTCTATGAGTAAGTGTGTCAAGTTTAAATTTTATAAACCCTCCCTGGCAGGTAGTTTGATTTCTTCCCTAGTTTGGTTTAAAAGTCTCCCTTTGCATCTCCCTTCTCCCAAAGGATCGGAACATGATTCTGGGCAAGCATGGGTTCTTTGTGAACCCCTCAGACTCCGTGGCTGTCATTGCTGCCAACATCTTCAGCATTCCATACTTCCAGCAGACCGGGGTCCGCGGCTTTGCACGCAGCATGCCCACCAGTGGTGCCCTGGACAGGTAGGCCTTGCCTTTCCCTCGGCCCTGCCGCCTCAGTTCATCCTGGTGCCCACCATGCCCTTCCCTGTGCCGAGAACACTCTTCCCCTCTTTTCAGCGTAGACATTTGATGCGTGTTGTGTGCTAAGTGGAAGGACGGGTGAAGTTTGTCCCGGATTCAGTGCCCCCTCAGTGTTCACTTAGCATCCAGTACTTCCTCCGTACTGATACTTATCATGGAGTTCTGATATCCTATTTGCTTAATACTCTTGCAGAGAAAAAAAGAAAAAGTCTGGATTCTACCTGCCCATGGTGTTCCTAGCACAGAGTAGCTCACACCTACATATAGTTTTTAAAAATGAATCGATGAATGCTATTGCATCAGTGGATGGATGGCAGTTCTGTTTGTGGCCATGTTATCACACATCAGACCTGTCAGGTCCTGGAATATCTTCTGTGTCATGCAAGAGCAGCATAATTACAATGTTTGGGGAAAAAATGGATGATCCACTTGTAGAATTGCCACTAAAATACCTCCTTAATAAAAGTTCATTGTATTTTTATAATTTTCAAAATCATGGATTTGCTCTTTCTCCAATGTTAGAGTCCAAACACAGTGTTGTTCTGTTGGGAGTAAAGCAAGTGTCCTGGAAAGCAGAACTCATCAAAACAGTGAATGAAGCTGACCACCTAACTTCCTGCTGAAAAGGAGAGGAATTAAAAAAAAAAAAAAAAAACTCACCCAAAGATTCTAAATAGTCTAAGGATATATAGGGAGAAGTCAAAGATGTGTTGGAAGGAAAAGGGAGCACTGATGGGAGTGGATGGAGCTGGTACCAATGGGAGACCTCACTGGCTGCTCTCCTTGTGGGGCCTTCTGATAAAAACAAAGGGACATTGACAAGCAGTGAAAGCCTGGGGCCGGCCATCAGGTGTGACCTTGGCATGATCACATAACATTCTTGACCCGTTTTCCTTCTCTCGAAAATGCTGACCTCCCAGACCCAATATTCTATGATTCTGTGATCACCAGTGCATCCGAACCTCATTCTTCTGTTCTCTACAGAAGGGTTATAGAGGCAGTCTACATCCAAAGCAGGTGGATTTAAATCGCCTGCACAGCAGCCCTGTATACTTTGTTACTGTTGCTTCTAAAACATCAAACTCTGTCATCTGAATTAATTCTTCCTTTTTTCCTCCCTACCCACCTCCTCTGTACCCACACAGAATAGCCCGTTGTGTGCAAGTTTCCTCTTATGATTTTCCACCAGCCTTAGAATTATGTCTGCCTCTGAGCAGTGCTAAATGGGACCCCTGATTACAATAACGGTCGCTCATTTCCATCCCTCACATGGCCCTGTGCACAGTCCTGCTGTGATGTAACTTTGATTTCATGTCTTTGAAGGGTGGCGAACGCCACAAAGATCGCTTTGTATGAGACCCCAACTGGTTGGAAGTTTTTTGGGAATCTGATGGATGCAAGCAAACTGTCCCTCTGTGGGGAGGAGAGCTTCGGTACTGGTAAGTCGTACTTCTGTGCTAGCATTTTCTACCCTGGAACGCTACCTCTGGTGAAAGCTTAGCCCGCTGAGATAGCATTGAAATAGCAACAGTGGCTGACGTGTCCTAGACCCAGACACAATTTATTTATAACAACCCTGATGCAGTGTGCACATTTGAAAAGCAGTGAGCACAAGCTCGTTCAGCCAGGAGGGCTAATTTTACTCTCAGAGGATCACATCTAGGAGACAGGAAGTTTAGGGGCCTCCTTGGTGGCGTGACCATTGAGTCTGCAGGGATTAAACAGAGTGATAAACATATTTTTCTTCCCTCAGTGGTCAAGGAAACCTTTATAAATGTTTTCATTTGGGGGAAGAAATATGATGGAGCAAGTCAGTTTTTCGTTTTTATTTAAAGGGAGGTTTTAGCATAGCATTAAATCTTTCTCTTTCATAGGCCCAAGTTTTCTGTAGCAACAGTTACAATTTATCAAGGCTAGATGAAGGGAGACCATTAAGGTAGAACTAAGTTGCCAGGTGATCAAGAAATTAAAAACACATCCTTGTGCATGAGGGTATGTGTCTAAATTGCAGTACAGTGAAAAAGTGAAACGGAGTATACTCTGGGGGTGACCCAAGACCCTTAGACACTAGTTCTGTGCTTTCCCTCCGCCTCCATGCCTGTCCAAATATTGACCTGAACTCCTACCTCCTCCACGGCCTTCCCCAGGACCCCGGCGCACCTCCATTAATCTCTCTTTTCTAAACATCTATTCAGGTGTGTGGCCTCTTCCCATGGGTTGGTCTCCTGCCAGGTTGCAAGGTACTTCGATGGCCACATCTCTTCTTCTGTCCTCTCTATCCAATATTTTGAAGTAAAGTAACCAGTCTTCTCGGGCCTTTAAAACTCTACTGCTACTCTTTAGCAAAGAGAAGATCAAAACCAACATCTGTCAGCCTCACAATTCGGTTGCTAGGTTAAATGGAACAGAACAAAGATTTCCTTTCCTTTCCCATAGCTCTGGAGGTAGATGGATAGAGTAAACTGGTAAATTGGAGGCACATATTTATAAAATTCTGAGCGCTTTCATACCCTTGAGACAATAGCAGTATTCTTGGGCAGTGAATTATTACTTATAGAGTTGGAAAGCATTAAGAAAGATGAGTCTTGACTATTCCACTAAGAAGGCAGAGATGGCATCCCAAAGTTCTAGATCTTTGATCAGAGATCATAAGGCCATTGCTTAATCCTTTCTCACTTCATAAAATATGGATAGTGCCACGTTATTCCATGGGACACTACATGGATACCCAATGAACCTGTGAAGTGGTCTTCTCTCATGAAGTTCTTCCCAGCGTTGCCCAGTCTAGGCTTGATATCAGTCATTCTTTATGAATGAAAATGTCTCTGAAGGCAGGCATTGTGGTTAAGCCTTTGTTTTTTTTTGCCACTTTCCCTATCCCATATTTAATCAGTGTTGAGCCTAGTGAAAAGAGAAAAGTCCAGAATCAGGTTTCCCAGAGTGTGTGGGAGTGTAGAAGAATACTAGTTCCACAAGAAGGTTCTGGGAATCAGCAAAGACTGGGGAACTTGGAGTATACTTCTCTATCTTGCATATTCCCAATGATACTGACCTTTGAAGGTTCTGAAACATTCTGCTTACTATAAGGAATCTTGTTAGTACAGTTTTGTCCAAACATAGTTAACCACAATGTCTTCCTTCTGGTAGTACATCCAGTAACATCTTGTCCCACAGACCCACAAAAGAGATCAGAGCCAGGGCCGAAGCTGTGAAGTAACAGGTTAAGGCACTGCCTGCAATGCCAACATCCCATATGGGCACCAGTTCGAGTCCCGGCTGCTCCACTTCTGATCCAGTCCCCTGCTGATGTGCCTGGGGAAGCAGTGGAGAGGGACCCAAGTTGCACCCAAGTAGGAGACCCAGATGAAGCTCCTGGCTCCTGGCTTTGGCCTGGCCCAGTCCAGGCTATTGCAGTGAACCAGTGGACTAAAGATCTCTCTCTCTCTCTCTCTCTCTCTCTCCTTCTCTCTCTATAACTCTGTGTTTCGAATTAAAGAGAGAGAGAGAGAGAGTGGGAGAGTGAGAGAGCAGAGCCAAGTAGGAGTCTCTGGTTAACTGGAAGGCACAGGCCTGAAGTCAGGACAGCTGCTCCTGTCTTGCATGACAGACCCCTCAAATACTTGAAGCCACTCTCAGTCCTTTTCCTCCACACTGCCCATCCTTGGGCCCTCTGATTATTCATTTCACATTGCTTGCAGCCCAAACACCAACCTCTAGGTGCTTCTGAGTTCTCCAGTGCCCCCTGTTGGAAGGCCATGCTGAAATCTTCTAGGTTGACCGGGCAAGTGAAGGTGGGGTAGGATGATTATATCTAGTGACCTAGTGACCTGGGCACTGTACTTTTCTCTGTATAACTTTTACTTAGGTTAGCTGTTAGGAAGTGTTATGATACAATGTAGTACATGAACAGTTGTGGATTGTTAAACCCTTCAAGCTTTTACCAGGGATCATTGGCCAAGAAAAATCACCCCTGTTGCATTTGTAGAATTGATTTCTTTGCACCAAAATACAAGACTTTATTCTTTGCTAAAATTTGTTATTATTCATTAACCCGTTCAACAAACACCAAGTTTGTCATGGTTATCCATCCATGGTTTTATCTCCCCTCCAATATCTTTTATATACAAAGAGAGAGTGCATCATGTAGTAATCCACAAGGTCTTTCTCTGTTTGTAAAAAAAAAATAAATAAGATAAACAGTTTGCTAAAGATAAACAATGTGTTAAAGATAAATGTTTTCAGAACAAGGCTGCAAGCCAGGGCTCTCCAGTGCTGTGAATGAGAGCTGTCGACCTTGTTTAAGTGAACTTTGGCGCTCCGTGTTTACACAGGAGGTGATTCCACCACCACGCCCCTTGCTGGTGACATTTCCAACAGGTCCTTTCGAGAGTTCCTCAGGGTGGCTGTTGGCCATCCTATGAGTTTTGAAATATTTGAATTCTATAGCTTCAGTGCAAGGTGCTTTGTTTCTGTGTTTTTCCTGGCAATAGCAGAGGCACTTTCTGGAACTTTCCAGAGTGGGTCGAGTGGGTCAAGAGTATTGGCTCTCCTGGCAATACATACTTCTCCCTTGTTGAACTCAGTGAATCTGTAATTTTATTATTATTTACAGTTATTTCACTACTATCTATGACTCCACTGTGAGTTCCATGAGGATAGGAATCTTCCCTCTTTCTCCGTTGTATCCTTAGAGCCACACATAGAACCCAGCACAGAATAGGTGCTCACTAAATACTGTTTACTAGATTAGCAAGCCCAGCAGTTATTTGGTATCTTCCACGTAAGCAAATGGAATCCTGCTGCTCGAGAGGGAGGACCTTTAAATGTCACTGGGTGTCCTTTCCTGGCTGGAACCATAAAGGGCCAGGCGCTGCTTTCCTCCTTCGACACCCACCTGTCCTCTCACAGTGGTCTGGGGCTCTTGGGAGGACTCAACACCATTCAGCTCCATAGTCCAGGGCTGGAAACCCCAAGCTCTGTGTGGAAAGAGATGAGTGTCTGCATAAGATGCTTACTTGCAAAGAGGTGCACAAGAGTCTGACTTGAGAAGAACCAGCTCATCAAGTGGAGGAAGGAAGCAGTGCGTTGAAAGAGCAAGCCAAGAATACTGTATTACTAACATTACATGTTAGTCATACATGTAACACATCTTCTTTCATGGTGGAGAAACGACAGCTTTCTCACATGATTTTCATAACCACAGAGGCCAGGACACCTCCCCAGACCTCAGCATTGCAAACTCCAGGGCTAAGAGTGGATTTTTGTGAGAGAGTCAGAACTGGGGTGTGTGTGTATGTGTGTGTGTGTGTGTGTGTGTGTGTGTGCAGAACTAGACAGGTTGAACCTGCTGTGGTCAGCTGATCTCCTGATGCAAAGCTGTTGTCCCTCCTGACTGTGGGTGATGATGCAGGGGCTTGAGTGTCAGTCCTGTCTCACCTTGGACTTGATAGGAAATTGAGAGTGGACTCATTGAATGCCACTGTCCTTAGAGAAATGGGAGGACCAGGAAAGAGGAATGGGAAACATGGTTGAAAATGAACTTGGTGTCACTTGGCAGTATGCCAGTAAGTGATGATCTGATCGGACTAGAGCTTAGCAGTATTTTTTTCCCTGTCCCGTCTTTAAAGGGTGCTAGTGATAATGCATGATGCAGGAGAGATAAGTTAAAGAAATTGCCATTAATATTTTGCAAGTTTCTTATAAAAAGTCCTTCATGTTGCTACTTCTTTGCATCAATAAATTCCTCAAACTTTTAAGCTGAATCCCAGGTACTGGGTAAGCTTTGGAGACATAATGGTGAGAAAGGGCTTCTCATGGAAGGCTCCGTGAGTTTACCTATGGGGAAAAAGTCAGCCGTTGTCCAGTAATTACAGCTATGCACAGTGATAGCAGGGAGGTACCCAGGGCTGCGGGAGTTCTGAACTCAGGAGCACCTGGTCTGGTTTGGTGGTGCAGGGCTCAGTTTTCTATCAGGTTCTCTGCCCATTCCAGCTTACACAGATCTTGAATACAGTATTTCCCTGTAGGTGAAGCTCCCTAGGGAAGGTTGCAGCTTCCTGTATCTGGTGTCCCACACAGAATACCCCAACAGCGCTAGGCTTTGACCCTCCTCGGAACAAACGCAGTTCAGCAGTGCCCTGGGTGTCTGCCTTCCTCGCCTGAATGTGCTCACCCCGGCAGGGCAGGGGACAGGTCTTACTCATGCGAGTGTTTTGTTGTGTGCTTGAATGTGCTGACACCGAGTCATGTTTGTTGAGTGTGGGGTGAAGTTTGTGTTCAGACACAGATCTTGCCCTCAGGCACTCACTACCCTCCTCCAAAGGCACCTTCTGGAAAGGAAACCAAGTCCCACAGGCAGTCTCAAGGTAGTACAGGAGCAATTGCTATGTGGGAACACTCCTGGGGGCTGGAAGGATCTGGAAAATTACTGCAAGGCTCG